TCATTTGTCGATAGTATTCTCGACATCTTGGATTCAAAATATCACAATCAAATTGTTGACTATTTATATGTAATACAAATTGATGTGGAAATGATGGCAAAAGGAACCAAATGGTAGTAGTAATGATGAATTGTAGTGATATGGATAGTAATAATGATGATAATAGTGATAATGATGATAATAATAATGGTGAAAATGATAACATCAGGAATATTTATGTTTGTAATAAAATTATACCAATAATAAAAGTTTGCTGCAATATGGAATGAATAATCTCTTTGAAATAAACTCTCGAGTATTTTCTCTGCTCTCGAAATGGACAATCTTTTTAATTGGTAGTTTTGAAATAAAAACAAGTTAAGAAAATAATCTGTTTAGTAAACAACAGTATAAAATAGCAATAAAAGTATTAGCAGGAGTGTCGTGAATAATTGATGTTTACTAAGTTTTATCCTGGCTAGTTTAATAAGCCAAAACAAATTGCTTCCCTATTTATAGCCTTGTTGGCATATGAATTAATTAATAAGATGATAATATAGTAGCATTAATGATAGTAGTAAAAATGAATGATTGATAGATTTAATCGATAGGAATAATAGTAAAAAAATAATGATTGTAATAGTATAGTAATAATGATGACAGCTTGTTGTAGGAAAAAATTATATTAGTGATGATGATGATGATGATGATGATGATGATGATGATGATGGTGATGATGGTTATGATAATAATGACGATGGTAATGTTGTTAACAAAAAAAAAAAAAAGAGAAATGCAGTAAAATTATGGTATTTACCAATACTTCCCGTAATAACTATCGGTAATACCATATATGAATGGAATACAAGTAACGATGACAATTATTTCAATCAAATGTATTACACATTACTCATTTAGTACGGTGGTAAAAATCTCGTATGAATTTTAAAACCTGAAATCATTTATTCATACATGACCTATGTTCTCTAAACCGGTATTTCATATGATCTGATTACAATCAATGTCTATTAGGTTAGGTATATATGAATTATGAGAAAAAAAAAGTTTAAATGTGACATTTCACTTCCTGGTACCAGATAATGACAACAACTTTTGCTTTATAAAACTATTGCATTTGAAATCAAAATAAAAAAAAAAAATTCGAAATTGTAGTTTTAAATACAAAAAGATTTAAAGTTGATGTTGTTTAATTAAAAATTGGAAAGGTTTTCTTTTTTTTTCCTCTTAAAAACTTTCAAAATTACTTTAATTTAAACAAAAAAAATTTAAGGTAAACGAAAAATTTGAAATATTTGTGTTATTTAATGTAATTTAATAAAACTTGTCAACTCTTTTTTTTTGTTTCCTTTTTTTCTTTTTTTTTTACTTTACTGTCATCTCAAATTTTATTCTTTCATTTTAACGATCTTTTCAAAATTATTGGAAGAAATATATTCGATTGTAATTCTCATACAATATCATATACTAAGTAATTGATATTGTCCGTTGCTATGATTAATTAAATTATTATTGTAAAACTGAATTAATTTTTTTTTTAATATGAAGTAGCCTTTGATAAGCATTTTGATAACCATTGGAAAACAATATTTAACTTTTTCGTTTTTACTTTATTTTTAACTTTTTTTTTGCATCAAATTATTTGCAAAAAAAAAAAAAATTACTGTAAATATTTTTCAAGCAATTGGCTAAAGGAAAAAACGGCTAATTATGTTTAATTTTATTGTTTTATTTGTAAAATTTTTGTTTTCTTTTTTTTTTAAAAGACTTTTACTTATACTTTGATTGTTTTTAAAATTTTATCATAAAAATATCTTTCATTGTATTTTAATATTATATGTATAACAAAATTTCAACATCTTTTATTAGTACTATTGTTATTGTTGTTGAAATATCTTTCATTGTATTTTAATATTATATGTATAACAAAATTTCAACATCTTTTATTAGTACTATTGTTATTGTTGTTGAAATATCTTTCATTGTATTTTAATATTATATGTATAACAAAATTTCAACATCTTTTATTAGTACTATTGTT